GCTCGAGTCCCACACCCAGTGGCTTGAAAATCATGCCAGGCATGTGTGTGTTCCTCCCCAAAATCCCAGGAAGAGAATAGACAAGGGATTGCGGCGTGACCATCCCCCTGGGGGTTGCTTTTTCACTTCCTTTCCTCATCTCTGTCTCTCTCCAAAGAATGCAAGTGCTCTACAGCAAAAACCTTACACACACCAAAAATAATAAAGAGTTTTTCAAAACAATTTCATTAATATTTTTTAATTTGGCGAGGGAGTGAGAAAGCAAGCCACTAGGTCGAGGACTCGAACTGTACTTGGTCACGTGGAAGTCTAAAGCCTTAACTGCCACAGACCTACGCATAGATTTTTCCATGGTACACTTTAAAAAATATTTTTCATGTAATTTTATTTATTTATTTATTTATTTATTTATTGACCTGGGATCTTGGGCACGCACGCACACACGCCCAGCGTGAGTTTAAGCCACCGGGTCCGGGACGCGAACCGCGGTCGACTACGTGGGAGTCCAGCGACATAGCCATTACGCTAACTGCTGGTTCCCTTTATTTTATTTTGACCAGAGAGGGAGAGAGTAAGAAACTGAGAAAGCAAGCCTCCAGGTCCGGGACTTGAACCACAGTCAACCATGTGAGAGTTCAACACCCTTAACCACTGCGCCCGCTACCAGTCCCCATAAAACACCTTTCCATGAACGCTTTGAAGACCCCTCCCCTACAATGGCAATGGGAAAGGGCCGCCATCTTTGGCGGCCTCCCTGCACTGTACCCGGGCCATGGGCGCGGGAATTTATGACTGCTGGCTGCCTGGATTTCCATACTGACCTTGGGAGCTGGGTGCTCAGGCTTCCAGCGCACAGATGAGTAATCCCAGGGAGACCACCCAGTGAGTGCCAGACACAGCCAGATTTCGATGCCAAGTCTGCCTGCCACCAGAGTCTGGTGCCACCCCTGCTCCCGCTGCTCTGTGGCACGACGGATTAACTCCGCGTTACCTGGTTCTAATGTCCCTCCGCCGAGTAAGTGTTCTGGTGCGTGTCACCTCCTTTAACTGGTTCTCAATGGTTTTAATAGACTTTTCTCGTCCTCTTAGAAGCTTCGCTTTGCTAAACAAGAACTCCGTGAGTCCCCCGGGGGCATGCGTCAGTACGTGGGGATGCAGTGCGGTGAGGTCCCGCCCCCCCCCACGAATGCATTTACCTCCAGGCTGAGTCGGCTAGGAGTCTTTGCTCCAACCCAGCCTGCCGTGCGCCACGAAGCTGCTTCTTGGGAATCTTGGGAAGCATTTAGCTCAAAATGCTGTGCTCCATATTCATGATGAAACGCATATTTCCATGTTCATCGGGGCAACTAGTAGCTTAGCCCTTGGAAAAGAATCCAAGCTGGTTAAATTTAGGGGCGTGAAAGAATTCCAAACCCAAGATCTTTTCTGGCAAGAACCATATAGCATTTTCATCTAATGGTGAAGGAGACTTTTCCTTTGGTGCATGTGCCCTGGGCCTTCAGGGATCTGTTCTCTGCACTGGCCAGGTGCCCAGGGCTCAGACGATGCTGCTGCCTCCCCAAATCCCTTGCTTCACCCCACTATCTCCCTTGTTATTTACAGTCTTCCTGGGACTGGTGGAACTGCCGCTCTTTGGATTCCCTGCTCCCTGCCTAGCTTCTCTGTTCTCTGTTCTCCGTCTCCCAAGTCTTCCCCTTCCACTCACCAGTCTCTCTTACTTTCTAAAAATAACATAGGATGGGACCAGCAGATAGGGTCATGGTTATGTTGCTGGATTCCCATGTAGACTGTGGTTCGAATCCCAGACCCGGTGGCTTAAATGCATGCTAGGTGAGTGTGCGCTCAAGATCCTGAGAGGACAATGGAGGAAAAGGGATTGCGGTGTGATCATTCCTCCTGAGGGTTGATTTCTTGCTTTCTGTCTTTCTGGCAAGCACACTTGCCCTATAGCAAAAAATATGTCTATAAAAAATGTTTTAAAAAAGGAGGGGGGGACGGTAAGTGGCGTGGTGGTCAAGGGCCTTGGACTCCCACATGGCTGACCACGGGTTGAGTCCTAGACCTGGTGGCTTGCCTTCTCATTTAGCATCCCCCCACCCCCCCATTGTCCCTCTCTGGTCAAATCAAAATAGGAAAATAAAGACAGTTAACTAAAATAACTCTTAAAGAAAAAAAGAAAACAACACAGGACAGTCTCCGTGTTCCAGGACGGTCTTAAGTAACTCACAGGAATGAATGCCATCTCCAAAGAGCCCCACACGAAAGGCGCTCCCCGACTTCCAGACTGGGAATGGAGGCTCCAAGAGGTTGAGCGACTTGCCCGAGCTGCCAAGGTGGAGAACCCGGATGTGGTCTGGCTGCAGTGACCTGCCATTCTGCCCTGTGGTATTTGGTCCTAAGCGCAAGACCGTGGGAGCAAAGCGGACCTAGGCCCACGTCTGGGCCCCCTCCTTGCTAAGGAATCCTGACTTCACTGTCCCTGCTTCATCTATAAAATGGGCAGAATTCATTCCTGACTCTGGGTAGCTTTTATGGCTCTTTTAAAAATAACTTTCATCTCTTTATCAGTATCTTGTATTTGGTGAGAACCGATTCTCATATGCTCCTTTAATTCCTTACATTTATTTCCCTTCGTTTTTTCTAGAACTTTCTTTCTTTTTTAGAGGTTTATACCTTAAGGCCTGTGTACTCTCCGGGTTGGGAGTGGGTGGAGAGACAGTGAGAAGGACAGTGATAAGTCGGCCCCCAAGGGGATGGCCACAGTAGTGCAATCCCTTCTCCATTCTCCTCCCGGGACCTTGGGCATGCGCACACACACGCCTCGTGTAAGTTTCAAGCCACTGGGTCTGGGAGGCAAACTGCACTGGGCCACGTGGGAGGCCAGCAGGGTAAGCACTATGCCATTGGCTGGC